GCTATGTGAGGGGCATTTAGGCAGTGGCTTAAAATGTTACTAACACCAGCATTCTGAGCTCTATTTCCCCCTGGGTCACATGACCCAGGGCACAAATATGGGTAATATCTGGAAAAATGCCATTTAACCAAAAAAAACATCGAGAATGCTGCAATACAGGAACACCCTATTGCATTCCAAACGAAGCAGAACATGGCAAAATATATAGATGTTAAGAATGATAATTTAATGATTATAAAATCAAACCCACAAATCTCTACATGGTTTAAAATTAACAAGATGACAAAAAAATAGAAATGTATGTTCTTCTTTCAATACCAGTAACTCCTCCTTACAGTACATATGCTATCACTCAAGTTCTAAAAAAATAAAAATTCTCTCCCTATACTCTGGCAAGGTGGAAACCAGACTATGAATGCATTCAGAAACTAAGACCACCATTTCACCCAACACTGATTGTAATTACCTGCACAGGCCCCCAGCTCAAATCCCAAGGACAAGCTATAGCCGCAAGTATGCTGCTCTGCTCAGCCCCAAAGTAATGTCTCCTTGCATTTGTCACAGAACTGCAACCAATGGTATTGTCCTCAGAATTACACAGCAGGCTATTAAATGAATATATCACATTTTTATTATGTTCAAAAATGTAGATCAGTATTTCTTAAACAAACCTAACTCTAAATCCACATAAAATATATTCCACAGAACCTGAACATGTGTCTGTAATAAAGCCAATCTATTTGTTTTTTCACAAAAGCATATTTCATAAGCTGTGCAAATTATCCTTCAACATATATGTAAAGAAAATGATTCTGTGTATGTAGACAAACAAGCAAACAAAAATATCTATTTTAAACCAAACCCATCTCTAAAGCTTTTAGCCAATCATTCTACAACAATTACTATTCATTATCAAATATGTAATGGATTTGTCACATATACCAAATGCCAGGAAAAACTCAAGCTGATTTACATTATTCTTATCAAAAACAAATGAGCAGCAGGGCCATTTGATCCAAAGACTTTATATTAAATAAACATTGAATTTATGAAGTATGCTTCGACTTTCCTTTTCTACTAATCCAAATTAAGATCAAGCCATTTTAATTTATTCAAATACCCGGTTGTGTTCAAGATTGCATTTTTTCTATTTTCTATATAAGCCCACTTGTTCCTCTTTATTTATTTTTGTGAATTTGAACTGCTATTGCACAAAACAGATATGAGAGCAATTGAGGAAATAAAATCCATCTTTAAGAATTGTAAGACAGCATGTACTGAATGCTTCTGCTTTTTCTCCCATTCCCTACAGCCAGGGCAGTGTGATGGCTCAGCAGTTAAGATGCTGGGTTTGTCGACTGGAAAGCTGGCAGCCCAAGTTCGAGACCTGAACTCCATGTGACAGGGTGAGCTCCTGTCCTTGCCCCAGCTCCTGCCAACCTAGCAGTTTGAAAGCATTATTATTATTATTTATTAAATTTATATACCGCCCTATCTCCCTTACGGGACTCAGGGCGGTGAACAGGCGATACTAAAAACCACAATAAATATACATAAGTTTCTGTTCTAAAATCAAATTAAATAACAGGCCTGTTCTAAAAACACCCCATACAAAACAAAAGCATGCAAATGTGAGTAGATAAATAGGTAGCACTTCGATGGGAAGGTACAGTGCTCTGTAACATCATGTTGGCCACAAGACTGCGGAAATGTCTTTGGACAGAGTTGGCTCAATAGCCTTGAAATGGAGATGAGCACTGCTCCCTACAGGCAGCAACAACTAGCAGAATAAAATCTGCAGGGACTCCTTTCCTTTTTTACTGTACCTACAGCAAAATGGCTCCTCAAAGCCCTTCTGATGGCAAGTCAAATCTGGCATTAGCTAACACTTTTTGTTCTCATTCTTCTTATAGTGACCATCAGGATAACTTAACATACTGCAATCAGAAGTCTCTTTTAGCTAGATATTCTACCTTCCTCTGCAAAGGGGACAAAACCATCTTTTAGAAAAATTCAAGATACAGGTGGTCATTTACTAACCATTTGAAGTTACACCACCCCACCCCCAGCTACTTATAATCAGAGTTTGAAATCATGATAGCCAACCTCCCCATGGTTACATCATCATATTTTGGGCGTTTGGCAACTGGTTCATCCTTATGGCTGATTGCAGCTTCTCAGGGTCATGTGACTGTAATTTTTGGCAGTTTTTCTGGTTTCCAATGTTTCTAGCTGAAAAAGCACATTGGGTAAAATGGATACATTTAATGAGCAGCACAAAAATGTTGTAAAATCAGGTGATCATGTGGTGGCCTGCTTAACTACCATAATTCATGGCTCAATTATGGTCATAAGTCAAGGAGTACCTGTACTGTACCTGTAGTGATTTTACATTAAGGAATTTCATCAAGATTGCTTCATAGGAGCAGTCTTAGTTTTATGATGCAGAGATTTTGAAATAGAAAGGAACTAGGTGGTTAAGGAACCACAGTAGAAATCAGGAGACCACAAGTTCTGATCCTGCCTTCGGCACAATGCTGACTGCATTAACTTGGGCCTGTCACTTCCTCTTAGCTGTAGGAAAAAGGCAATGGCATAACACTTCTGAAAAACCAGGAAACTACAGGGACTTGTCCAAGCAGTCTTCAAAAGTCAGATACAATTGAACAGAAGGGGGAAAGGGAGGTTAAAACAGATGTTTTATTTGGCTATTTCATCAGTTTACTAGCACTGAATGTACTTTAGTCCTAAAAACATTTAACACTTCTCTGCATTGGCAGAAGATAATGTTGTACAACCACTAAATGGTTATCCATAGTCTAGGAATGAAATACAATAGTGGATCAAATCATAGCCAAAAATGCAATCTGTAGTCTCAAGCTGGAATCACACAGATCGAGAACAGATCTGTTTCTATGATTCATTTCGTGCTAATCAAATATAAAATAGGGTGAACGAGAATCATTTTTAAGAGGAAGAAAAAAGCGAAAGAATTTGCTTTTCTTTAAGTTACAGAATCAGAAGTGCCTAGCTGAAATGTATCCACAAAGGAGGAATTGACCTGTCTTGATTAGGAACAAAAGAGTAAGTTTACAAAAGATTAAAAATATTTTTGCTGAAAATGAACAAAAAGGATTTGCTCATTAAAATATATTAAACACGGGAAGAAGAGAATGATAATATAAAGGGAAAATGGTAAAAGTTTATAACTCCTATAAAGAAGATCAGAAACCACTTCTTTAACATTTTCTCTTTTTTTCTCTTTATTTCTACCTTTTTGTGTCCAAAACCTATAGTCTATAATAAATCTAGTATAAAACATCCAAGTTAATGGTTTGGTGATGGTGTCCCTTTAATGTTTAACAGAAATTTCAGATTTATTTTGTTGTTTAAAGAACCACCAAAGGAAGGAAATGGTGAGAGAAGGTACTTACAGTTTCTTACTAAATATATAGCGTGAAAAGACATGTAAGCGGCTTAGAATATAAGCTGAGAAGACCTAGTTTCACAACATTTTCCTAAATGGGCTTTATGTTTAAATAAATAATTATATTCTGCCCAGTTCAGAGATTCCATGTTGCTGATCATTTAAAAATAATAATAATAAAACAGAAATCGCTCAATAGCTATACAGTTAAAAAAAAAAGGGAACCGTTGACATGCATATGAGGATTACACACAATACTGCTGATCTTAATTGCCTTATGCTCTTTTAAAGGCCCAGATCTCTGTTGCTTTGTGGAAAGATAGAACTATACTGTAGTGGGCATATAGTTTTCAGGGGAAAGAAAATTCCCCAAGGAACCAGGCCAGCTTTTGAAAAAGGCCTGTTTCAGGTCCATTCCCCCTTGAAGCGTTGAGGAGGAATCCACAGCATTCCTTCATGGATTATTCAAACAGGATGAGTCCATGCTGGAGAAGGCAGGCCCATAATTATTTCGGCCCCAAGTAGGAATTATAAGTAATGACCAGCACCTTGAATGTTATGTGGAAACAAATACAAATACTGGGCGTTGATATGAACCAAAGTTGTTGGGAAGACAATAATTTAAAATGAATTATGAGGCAGGAAGAAGAGGTGGAAAAATGTGAAGCGCAATGATTTCTAAGTCAGATCTCCGACTGGAAAAATTACTAAAAGGTTAAAGAAAGGGAAGCTTGAGTTCAGTTTTCGCGGCCAGTTTTCTTTACCGTTGCTCATTTTTATTTGTCATTCGACGCTTGGATTCTCCCTACCACGTATTCGACGGGGCGAGGCAATTTGCCTCAGGCAGCCAACTCTCAAATGTAGGCTCTCATTAAGAGGCAGAGGAGAAAAAGGCGCCTAGAGCCCCAAGGAACGTGTCGGCCTACGGCTGAAATGGCTTCCAAGGACATGAACTGGCTCAGTTTGAGGGTGTTCGTTGTTGTCGTTGTTGTTGTGCCTCAAGTACGTACGATATATATTTTTTTCAGAACCTCCCAAACATTTCAGATTAACCCATCGGACCGCTTTCCAAGTTTGGGGGGCTACCCGCTATTACAAGAGTCTTCAGCTACGATCCTAACGGCACAGATTCCCTTCGGGTCAGCCTAACGCAGGGGTCCCTCAACCTTGGCCACTTTTAAGACTTGTGGACTTCAACTCCCAGAATTCCTCAGCCAACAAAGTTGGCTGAGGAATTCTGGGAGTTGAAGTCCACAAGTCTTTAAAGTGGCCAAGGTTGAGGACCCCTGGCCTAACGAGAACATAGCCAAGAGCGGAAGGGAAGGCAGGGTCTCTAACCATTAGGCCACTCTACCCCCCACCCATACCCCCCACCCACCCCGCACAGCTATCGACGGGTCAACGGAGGGCTCGAGCGCGAGGCTTCCCCTCCCCCATCCCCAAGGCCGACCGTTCACGCGCGCCGGCGGTCACGTGACCGACTCCCCCCCCCTCCGCCCTGCACGTGCCACTTTCTCCCCCCTCCTTTCCCTCCCTCCCGCGCGCTCTCTCTCCTCGGCCGCCGCTTTCCTACCTTCGGTCAGCGCGTCTTGGCCTTGCAGCCCGACGGGCACCTCGCCGTTTTCCAAGATGCTGTAGCCCTCGTCGTTCTCGATGCCCGCGATTTCGTTCTCCTGCTGGGCCAGGAAAGCGGCGGCTGGGTCTTCTTCGCCGCCGACCCCCAGCGCCCCGTTTCCCGCCACTGGCTGAGGGGAGCCGAAGAGATCGAACTCGGCCATGAGCGAAAAGGAATGCGGGTGTGGGGGGGGGGAGCCAACCGAAGGAACGGACCCAAGAGCCGAGCGGCAAAAAAAAAAATTAAAAAAAAACCCAGCAACCCCACACGAAGCAACCGTTTAACGGATAGCAAGCGCTATTTCCGGCTTCCTGCTGCTTAATCGTCCAGCAGTCAGCACCCTTTTTCTCCTTTCCTTCCTCCGCCCTTCCCCGGAAAGCTCCTAGAGTGATGGCCCAAAGCCACCAACCAATTGAGGGGAGAGAAAGGCATAAGCCAATTAGTGTGCCCGGAAGGCGGGATTCCGACGACATTCCGCACACGTGACCTCTCTTACTCCTTCGCTCGGAGGAGGAGAGGAGAGGAGGAAAAGGAAGAGGTAGCTCCTCGCGGGCGGGACGTTTTTACCTCTCTCTCTCGCCTCGTAAAATGGACTCCCCGTTTGACACGTTAAACCAGGGGTTCTCAGCCTTGGCCACTTTTAAGACTTGTGGACTTCAACTCCCAGAATTCCTCAGCCAGCAAAGCTGGCTGAGGAATTCTGGGAGTTGAAGTCCACAAGTCTTAAAGTTGCCACGGTTGAGAACCCCTGCGTTAAACCTATCGGTGGTATTGAGGCAAAGACGGGATTTATAACGCGAATGGCCTGCGGTACATTTAATGAAAGGAGGAGCGCCAAAGTTCGCTCGAAAGGGAAACGCTCCTTTACGCGCCCGTCTCTGAAAACAGGTGCCAGCAACTTACTAGCACTTAAACTACTAAGCACTTGTGGCTTCGGTGTCACTGCCAACTATAACAGAAAGACGAGTACACTACAAGGAGAAGGTTTCTTACTCTCTCTGGCCAGTCGGTTTATTGCAGACAAGCGCTAGGAATTATCTGGCAATACTTAACAGATCTGTATTAAGAGACAGTAAAGAAAACTTAAGACAAAATTGAAATACATCTGTAAAACAATCTGGCTAGAATTTGAGAAATCTAAAAGAATCTATGGGTTATATGGTATCTACATTTATATAAAGTGTGACTACCATTAAAATTACAAAAACGTATCTAAAATGTTTGTAAAGTCAGATAATATCTAAAATTACAACTAATGGTATCTAAAATTACATAAAATACCTCTATAGCAGTAACTTGGCGCATCAGGGTCTGGCGGATCTTATATGTTTCTGTGAAACGTGGTCACACAGCTCTATAATAAATGGCAGTCTGTCTGGCCAGTTTGTTTTTCATGACAAGCAGAAACTTTTATTTTTATTTTTTTTGCAACAGGACCTAGGTGAGTGATGGTGAACCTTTTAGAGACTGAGTGCCCAAACTGCAACCCAAAACCCACTTATGCATCATCGAGTACCGGATGGGCGTGGCTGTGGTGGTAATGGCAGACTGGGTGGGACTAAAAAGTTCAATCAATCAATTCTAACTTTGCAAGATCTTTTTTTTTCCCCAGGAGAAGTTGAAATTGATTTAACCTTTTTTTGCACATGGCGGCGGAGGCCTAAAGCAAAGAGGTTTTATAAAACCCAGCTGAAGGTCTAGGACTGGGGCGACGGCGCGCATGCCCACAGAGAGGGCTCTGCGTGCCGCCTCTGGCACCCGTGCCATAGGTTCGCCACCACTGACCTAGGCACTTCAAATACTACAAAATCTGTAGAGACATTCCTTGTAAAGCTTATTCTAGTGAAAAGGTCCATAGAGAGGTAATTGTTTTCTGGTTCTCCAGAATACAGTTCAAAACTTGGTAATGTGAGAATATTATAAAGTTGCCTTTGTATTCATATACTGAACGTAACTGTTTTGCTTTAGATTGCTTTGGTAAGGTGGTTATGCTGGGCCTTATGATTTAGAAAGCCCTTTATTTGTTCTGAATCCATTTGTAACTGCAGGAATAACCCAATCATTTGTATAGTTTTTAAAGCTATAACTTATCAACTTATCTTCCTAGAGCAGGAAGAACTTCCTTTTTAGTGCAAATTAATATTTTAAATTATATATAGCAAAACACATCGGCTTTTTAAGTTGGATATCAAAGCAGGTGATAGTTCGTGATTGGCTGTTTCTGGGCTTGGAAGCTAAACAACTTTGGATACTTTTAGTTCTTGAATTGGAAACTAAGGGAATTCCAGGGCTATAGGCTAGACTGGAAAGTCAAAAACATCCTAGAAGAAGACAACAACAAACACTTCTGTATTGTTGCCACTCAAAATGTATTAACATGTCCAAGGAATCACCAGCCGTTAGTACTGTAAGGAGAGGTTCAGACTACATGTGGGAGATAACAATTTTGTTCTGTAATGTTTTTATACTTTCCTTTTAAATATTATTTTGAATCGAGAGGAAGCAGGAAAGTATGGACTGGCCTTATTTACATGTATGCACTTGGTGTGGGTGAAACAGAATATATATTTTGGATCTGAAACAAACATCATGTTTCAGATTTTCTTTACAACCATTTCAGATTGGCTGTGATTTGGCAGAAACAATACCTGGAACACTTATGTTTCTATACCTAAAGAAATTAGGGAATAATTTAATGGGCAAGTTGGGGAAGGCTGATATATATTGCCATAACTCTAACCTCATCCTTTCAGCAGATGCCTACACTGAATATCACACTGGCTAGCTCTTCCTAGCATTTTCCCTCAGCTATCATTTCATTATTATATATCCCACATCTGTTATAAAACAGTCACATCCTTTATAATTGCATACCAACAGATATTAAAAGCATAGAACTGGTAAAAAAAATGGCAATCCTTTTTATAGTGTAATCCTAGAAGACTAATAGCCTTTTAGAGTATAGCTCAAAATAATACTAATAACAATACTACTATTACTACTACTACTACTACTAATAATAATAATAAAATAATAATAATAAAATAATAATAATAATAATAATAATAATAATAATAATAATAATAATAATAATAATAATAATAATAATAATAATAATAGAGTTGGAAGGGTCCTTGGAGGTCTTCTAGTCCAACCCCCAGCTCAGGCAGGAAACCCTATACCATTTCAGACAAATGGTCTCTTCTTAAAAACTTCCAGTGTTGGAGCATTCACAATTTTTGGAGGTAGGTTGTTCCACTAATTATTCTTTCCGGAAATTTCTCCTTAGTTCTAGATTGCTTCTCTCTTTGATTAGTTTCCATCCGTTGCTTCTTGTCCTGCCTTCAGGTGCTTTGGAGAATAGCTTGACTCCCTCTTCTATGTGGCAACCCCTGAGATAGTGGAACATTGCTATCATGTCACCCCTCGTCCTTCTTTTCATTAAATTAGACATACCCAATTCCAGCAACCATTCTTTATATGTTTTAGTCTCCAGTCCCCTAATCATCTTTGTTGCTCTTCTCTGTACTCTTTCTAGAGTCTCAACATCTTTTTTACAATGTGGTGACCAAAACTGGATGCAGTATTCCAAGCGTGGCCTTATCAAGGCATTGTAAAGTGGTATTAGCACTCTGTTAATGCAGCCTAGCACTCTGTTGGCTATTTAGGTGATTGTCCACTAGGACTCTGAGATCCCTCTCCCTCTTACTACTATTGAGCAAGGTACCACAGTAGTACCTGTGCATTTGGTTTTTCTTGCCTAAATGTGGAACCTTATTTTTTTCGCCATTGAATTTCATTTTGTTAGATAGTGCCCAATGTTCAAGTCTGTCAAGATCCTTCTGTATCTTAAGCTATTCTTCTGGAGTGTTGGCTGTTCCTGCCAGCTTGGTGTCTTAAGTTCTTGTAACAAATTTTCATTTCCTCTTTCTTCAAAGAAATACAGCTTCAGTTCTCCACTTTATTATCTAGAAATCAGTGAGCAATCATTAGTAGAATGACAAAGGTTTGCCATTTTTTTTAAGATCACAGAGGTCAATAGCTAGCTTTCTTGGACAGTCACAAAGGTAGAATTGTCCAACATATTAAGCCACAAACTAGATAACCAACTTAGTTTTGTGGTCCAGTATGAATTACAAATCCCCCAAAATGGGGTGAGTATCCATGATTCAATTAATAGTGTATTTAAACATAGCTACTGTGGAAACGGACTTAGCAGGCTGCATATATAAATATGTAAATAAATATATACATCATCACTCACCCTCTGTGGCCTACATTAAAATGCAGTTTTCTCCACTTTGATATTTCACACTAAGCTGAATTTTAAAAAGAGTGAGGAAAGAAGGAAGAAGGAAGGTTTGTCTTACATAATTTTACACAAGGAATTTGGTGAAAGATAAGTTATACTCTTTACCATATATCTATGGATTTACAAACTTCTTTGTCTACTTTACTACTACCTGAGGACCAACTAAATACTACTGTCAAATAATTATTTTACTGCAACAGCAGCAACAGCTTTAATTCCAAGTGCCTCTTCTTGAAAAAATGGCTCCTCTATTCTCCAAATCCTCTTTGTGGAAGACAATTACTATGAACCAATTGTTTTCCTTTCTTTGGTTGCAAAGGCAATGTGTGCAGGAAAAGAGATTGCTAAAGAAAATTGACCACAGGTTTTATTTAAAACTACTGTATATATTTTGTAACAAGATAGAATTGAAAACAGGGCATAACTGAGGAAGAAAAATAAGTAACTTTTTAAATGCTGCTGAATTCAACTGAATTCAATTCAACTCTCAGTATTTCTTAACCAGGGACAATGTTGGCTGGGACACTGGAAGCTAACAATATGTGGATAGCTAGAGGTTTCCCACTGTTACTGATTTTTTTAATGATTTTTGTGAATAGCTCTGCTAACTGGGTAGAAGAACTTCTAATATTGCACTCTTATTTTAAATCTGTGTTAGGAAAAGAAACAATGGTCATTTTTGTTTCCATACAGAACACATTTAGAAGGTAACTATTATTGCTATTTCTCTTTGAACCTGTAACAAAATAGTTAAGAATATTTGTGGACTTTAGAAGTTGCCACTGCAATCATTCCAAAGTCTTAATGCTTAGACAAATGATCCTTCCCAGAGGTTAGGACGTAAAAATGTGCACTGGTCACTGTTGTGCAATTTCACATAGTCAGGGTTTTAGATGAACCATGCAGTGCAGGTCAAGTGAGAAGGTA